GGCTTTGGTCCAGAGCGGTTCACTATTTTCAGACCGCCCCAAAGCTCTTCCTACTAATAAGATTATGAGTAGCAACCAACATAACATCAGCTCCGCCTTCTATGGCCCCACCTGGCGGCTTTTACGGCGGAATCTGACGTCAGAAATCCTCCATCCTTCACGTATAAAGTCGTATTCTCACGCGCGTAAATGGGTTTTGGAAATCCTTTTTGATGGTTTACAGTCAAAGGCTGAAACTGGAGAAGCAGTTCAGGTTTTGGCTCAATTTAAGTATGCTATGTTTTGTTTATTGGTTTTGATGTGTTTTGGTGACAAGCTTAGTCAAGATCAAATCAAAGAGATTGAGGCGGTTCTGCGAAGAGGGCTATTAGGTTTTGGAAGATTCAATATACTTAACTTTTGGCCTAGAGTGACCAAGGTTTTGCTTCGTAAGGAGTGGGAGCAGCTTTATCAGCTACGTAAAGATCAAGAAGATTTGCTGATTCCTTTGATAAGAGCAAGAAAGAAGGCTAAAGAGGAGAACTTGAGTAAGAAGGCAAGTGATGATTATGTTTTAGCATATGTTGATACTTTGTTGGATTTGGACTTACCGGAGGAGAAAAGGAAGCTTGAGGAAGGAGAAATTGTTAGTTTGACCTCTGAGTTTCTTAATGGTGGCACTGACACGACCTCCACTGCTTTGCAGTGGATCATGGCAAATTTGGTGAAGTACCCTTATGTTCAAGATAAATTATTGCTTGAAATCAAAGGGGTTGTGGGAGATGGGGCGGAAGAAATCAAAGAAGATGATTTGCAAAAGATGCCTTATTTGAAAGCAGTGGTTTTAGAAGGGCTGAGAAGGCACCCACCGGGCCACTTTGTGTTGCCTCATTGTGCGACAGAAGACACAGTCCTGGGAGGATTTTTCGTCCCAAAGAATGGAACTGTCAATTTCATGGTGGCCGATATGGGGTGGGATCCAGAGGTGTGGGAGGATCCAATGGCATTTAAGCCTGAGAGGTTCATGAGAAGTGATGATGGTAGCGGGGAAGTGTTTGATATAACGGGAAGTAGGGAGATTAAGATGATGCCTTTTGGAGTTGGGAGAAGAATTTGTCCTGGAATTGGCTTAGCCATGCTTCATTTGGAGTATTTTGTGGCAAATTTGATTTGGAAATTCGAATGG